CAAAGTGATAGACAGTACTATCATATGACCTATGTCTATTGCTAAATGTAAGTACAAATTTGTTAAAAGGAAAAATGTTAACATTTAAATTCTAATGGGGGTGTAATGATTTTATGTTCTAATGGAATGAACCTACTGTTCATATGGAAAATAAGGGGATAATTTTGAATTGTCCAATTTACTCGGATCCTCTGTGGGAATGTTTAGTTCAATGACCGTATAATTATTTGTGTTATTTTTATAATCTTTTGGGAATTTAGAGAACTGCGACGCTAACCAAAATATCAAAAGAGAAGGCAAAAGCCACAAAGCCTGGGCAGGCAGTCCTTCTGGTTGCAGCAAGTGCTCGTAGCTGTGGCCTTGCCAGCAGCTCTCTGACGCTAACCAAAATATCAAAAGAGAAGGCAAAAGCCACAAAGCCGGGGCAGGCAGTCCTTCTGGTTGCAGCAAGTGCTCGTAGCTGTGGCCTTGCCAGCAGCTCTCTCTCCAGTGGCCTTGCCAACTTGGAGAGGGCAACCCAAGCTGACTCCTTTAGGACTCTGCCATGGCGTGGGCCACGCCAAAAAACTGTAGGAATTTTTTGCCAGCATACCTACTTTACAGGAAATGTTAAAGGAAGTTTTTCAGGGAGAAAGAACAATACCCGATAGCAACCTGGATCTACACAAAGTTCTGCCATGGCGTGGGCCACGCCAAAAAACTGTAGGAATTTTTTGCCAGCATACCTACTTTACAGGAAACGTTAAAGGAAGTTTTTCAGGGAGAAAGAACAATACCCGATAGCAACCTGGATCTACACAAAGAAAGGGAAAGCACAGGAAATGGAATGAGGGAGGGTAAAATAAAATTCATTTTTTCTACTCTTAATTGCTGAAAAGATAACTGAACTGTCAAAAGCAGAAACAGCAATGCATTGAGTGGTTATGTCGTATATAAAAGTAAAATACATGGCGACAGCAGCACACAGGACGGGAAGGAGGAATTCCCGGTGGTGACTTTCTCACACTACGCACAAGGTAGGTTTTTCTCCCTTTGTGGTCCTCATGTGTCTGCTGGCTCACAGAACGTCTGATGGAGAGGACAGCAAAAGGAGAGAAACGTTTGCCAACACGGTAGGGTGGCGGCTGCACAGTGTGGACGCGCTCACGGCCTGTCTGCACCCAGCACGCGGCCCGGGTCTCCCCACAGTGGCGTTTCAGACATGCGCAGCCTCTCAGTGCGCCACGCGGCCGTGAGGAGTGCTTGGCCTCTCACACCTGCCATGTCTGCCTGTGAGGCACAAACCCCCTGAGCACCCAACCAAGGACAGGGCTGGGCTTCAGGAAGGTGGAGGGAGCCACCACAAGCCCAGGAGGCCCCTGTCCTGACAAGGACGTTCCGCTGACAGGGATTCCAGATGGCGCCCCACTGGGTCTGGGGCACACAACTCAGATGCCCAGCAAAGCACCTGCACCCCCTGAACTGACAGTAGCAATTCCAAAGGTGCAAGCCCAAGCAGATGGCCTCCCAGGCAGCAAGGGAGTCAAGGGAAACAAAGGACAGACGTGCTGGTGGCACTACTGTGGGGGACACCCAGAAGAGGCCCACAGAGAAAGAGGGGCAGACGTTAATTCTGTTTTAAAATAAGGTGGAACCTGAAAGCTAAAAACCTGCGAATGACATCCCTCCGTCAGTGCTCAGACCAGTTGTTAAGCAGGGGGCAGGTAGGAGATGGCCGTGCCGGGTCGGCGTGGGTTCACGGGAACGGGGTGCTCACCTCACTCCCTTCTTGAGGTGAGGTGAGTTGTGTTTTATCAAGATGCAGGAGGAAGCTGAGCCAAATTCCAGTTGTGCTCCACAAAGACCGGCTGAGCACCTACTTCTGTGCCAGGCACACTCAGTGACCAAAGCGACAGACAGAATCCGTTCTCGTGGAACACAGGAGGGGACAGATAGGAGGACGGGACAGACCCAACCCCTGCGATATCCTCATGCCTTCACCAGGGATCTCGACACACCAGTGTGCACGTTACGTGTGCACGCATGTGTGTGCATTTGTACACACCTAGAAGGCTCTGGACAGACAAACGGCTGGACGGGGCTGCACGGGAAAGGGAAGGTTACTGTCTACACTATTCTGTCCCAATCGTTTTTGTAACAAGCCAAGTAGGGGGTGGACAGTTTTAAATCAACATAATGAAAAAGGAAACAAAGGTCGACAGGTTGCTCAGGTAGCCCTGGCACCAGGTGAGGCCTGGTCGGGGGCTCCCCAGACACTTCCAGGTCTCAGAGGCTCCAGGTCCGGCTGGGTAAGTGGAAGCGACCTAACTATGCCTGTCATATTCCTCACAGACCCACCGATGGCCAGTGTGCAGGGAACATTGTAGGGAAGTGCAAAGGATGGAGGCAGAGGAGGGGTGTAACGCTGTTCGGGGATTTTCCGTGCTCTCACCCCAGAATTTCCTACTATCCTTCTGTGTGGTCTGAATGCATGTGTCCTCCAAACTTCACAGGTTGGAACTCAACCCCCAAGGTGACGGTTATAAGAGGCGGGGCCTCTCAAGGGGCAAATCCTCATGAATGGACTAGTGTTCTTACGAAAAGTGGAAGGGAGCGTCCTGGAGCCATGTGAGGACGCAGCGGCAGGTGCGTCTGGAAGCAGAGGGTCCTCGCCAGACAGCAAATCTGCCTCCAGAGCTGCAAGAAATCAATTTCTGTTCTTTAAAAATTACCCAGTCTCAAGCGTTTAGTTACAGCAGCACAAACAGACTAAGACACCTTATTCTTACTATATTTGAGTTGCAAAATTCAAGAGAATTTATTTACTTCTATTATTGCTTACAAAGACAATTTTTAATACTAAAGCATAATGCAAAAGGTGTCTGACTAAACCCTCTGGATGACATTCAAATAATGCCAAAAGAGGATGCCCCAGAAGTCTTAAGACACAGTTGGCAGACGTCGTTTCAATGGAGTAACTCCTTTTGACAAGTGTATATACATAACATTTTATGTATGACCAAGAAAATGGTTCATTAAAACACATTTTCATGGTAGACTGTTTAAAATCCAATAATAGACAATATTTTAAAGCTGTTCTAAAAATAACTAGAAATATTCTTAGAAAAGAAAACACTGGATAAGACTCTTTCCTTTCAGGTTTAGTATACACTAAAATGCTAATTTCTTCATTGGTTCAAAACTACTCTCTGGGAACACCAAAGCAACATTCTTGTAAAATAAATTATGTACAGAACACACACTCTGCACACAAACATAGACTCATCAGCCTTACAGTTATGTCTTTAAATTTGGGCTGTGACACAACCATGTCCTCCCAACAATACGGTCACTTCTGCACCAGCCTCTCCCTCCATGGGGCTTCCTGCAGGAGCAGCCGCAGCCGGAGGTGCTCGTCCAGCACAGGGGCCGCCCACTGCCTCTTCAGGTACTGGACGTCCACGCTGCCCGAGGCCCTGGCCAGGAGCAGGGCCAGGAAGCTGCCGCCGGCCTTCTCTGGCTCACCCATGACGGTCACAGCCACCAGCCTGTGGGCAAGAGGGTGCATCAGCAGGGACAGCCAGCTACATCTGAGTCTTTCAAAATATCTACCTTCCAGGGCAGGAATGGATGGAAGAGAAATTCTAAACATGTCAATGGGCAGAATGAAAAGTTAGACCAGAAACAACTGTATGAAAATCTACAAGAAACATTTTGAAAATGTATTTCTGCATCTTAGAGGCCTGCTGGACTGTCTGATTCTAACTGATGAGGACGTGCTGCTGCAGGACAGACGTGAGGGTCTCGGAGGCTGTGGGACAAACCTACTTCTGCTCCTCTCTCCTCAGATAAGTCAACATCTCCCAGCAGGCTTGCAAGTGGGTCCCTCGAGAATATCGAGAAGCTCAGCAGCCAGGCCGGCCCTGCAACCCTGGGGCCTAGTAGTGGGGTCCCCAGTGTGGGGGTCCCCAGTGTAGGGGTTCCCAGCATGGGGATCCTTGACGACTCATCCCCAGCCTCCCCACTCCCCCCATCTTGCCCTCAGGTACAAGTCGAAGCTCACACATCTGCATCTCCAGCCTACAGCACCCCGCCCCCAGCTCCAGAACCCTCTATTCAGCTGGTTCCTCCCGTCTCTCCCTCCTGGTGAGCCACGACTCCCTCTACCCAAGTGTCCAAGCGAGAGACCAAGCGCCCTTCCCCACACCACCGGCCCCGCAGCGAGGCTGCTCCTGTTTCGACACACTGGACTCGCCCCACAGAAATCCCCTGCTGTCGCCAGCAGACGGTGTCTTTCCTTCCCCGTGGGGCCTCGGGGCTCCTGGCTCGCCCAGCACCTCTCCTACTCCGATTCCACGCCCTGTGCCTCTCAGAGACTGCCTGTCTCATCTGCTCACTCCTACTTGTCCTTTAGGACCTGGCTTGGTGCCATCACTCCTGGAGACCTCCCAGGGCTCCAACTCTACCTCAAAACATGGCTATCACAGCATCAGTCACTGCAACACCTGCCTCCCGTGCCCTCCCCTGCTGCACCAGGCACCAGCCAAGGCCGAGCCATTTTAGGGGCACCCATGACTGGCAGGACAGCAGTGACCCCTCGCCGGGCAGGGCAGAGAGTCTCTTGGTTGTGGCCACACAAAGGCCTGTCTACTGATATCCCGTAAACTCTGTCCCTACATCCAAATACCCTGAGAGCCCCAGAGTCTGTGACACAAGCCCTGCACACCCGGCCAGAGCCAGCCCAAAGCTACATCTGCCATGGGCTCCTGCCAGGGAGAACCTACAGCATCATTGAGAGCAAGGGGGATGTGCAGATTAAGCCCTCATGAGGTCACAAAAGGAGAAGACCACGAAAACTTACACATCCTTAGAACTTTCACTACTGAATGCTGCGATACTGCTGTCCAATTACTTGTGTAAGATGCACGCAAGGTTTACATGCCACCAACTTGGAAACGTCAGCAATGGGTGGCAAGCATAAAAGATTCTCCTGGCATCAGGACCATGAGGTTGAGCCTGGAGTGCAGGGGCAAGCACACTATAGTTGACTGATTAATGTGTCTAGATGTTCTTAAGAGAATTTGAAACAGACATGTGAACACCAGAAAGTGCTATCACTGGCCTATTTTTTTTTTAATGTCCTTTCAAGTGAACAGATATGATGTAGGTGGGGGGTGGGGGGGGAGGGGAAAGAGGAACCGGTAAAGGGACACGAAAATCAAGTACAATGTATGTTGAGAAGTTAAAATTTTTAAAAATGTCCTTCAGATTTGTGAGTTGGACAGAATCCAAGCAAAGATGACGTCTGCGTTCAACATTCGCTGCCACGCACATGTCCCCCATGCCCGGGTTGCCCCAGGAGCCCGGAGCTAATGCCACTTCTCCAAGCACGAGCTGCCTGACCCGCTTCTAGACCACACAGACGCAGGAAGTTAATCACCATGGATTCCAGCTCAACTCCACACGCAGCAAGTTCTTGCTTGTTTGTCATCTAAACTCCTCCCTTGTAAATTCCACTAGGCTCTTTTTGTTTTGTTTTTCTTTATAGCTAGAGAAAAATAATACAGCACTTTCCATGTAGAAATATTACTTAACTAAAACACTGTGGCTAAACACTTCTGTGGGAGGTGTTCAGGGAAAAGGATGTGTCACATCATTCCGGAAGCCCTTTCTCATGAGGACAGTGGAGGAACCTGTTGCTCAGTTGCCATCTCCTTCCTGCAAGCTCCTAAGAGACAGACACCACACACCGGTGGTCCCACAGTGTCCACCAAGGGACCTGGGTGGAGGGGACCTCCCCAGGGCAGGTGCAACATTAGGCTCTCATCAGACTGGCGCAGGGTTCCCAGTGCACACTTCTCTTTTTTGGAAAACTGTGATTCCAATAAATGAAGCTCCACGACTGAAGAGTCCCTAACCAGGTAATGAGGACAACTATCTCCTGAAATGCAAACCATATTTGGACCTGATCAAACACAGGACCTGTCCCTCCTCTGCTCAAAGCTCCTGTGGTTCCCATCCCCTCAGTCTGACATCTCTGTCCCCGCCAGCAACTCCAGCGTCCGCACAGCAGCACAGCCCCTCACTAGGGCCACCCTTCCTTGCCCCATTTAGAACCCCAATGCCTACTGCCCACACTCCTGACCCCCATTTTATCCTGCAGTGTGTAGTGCAGCACATTTTAGGGCTCCCTTGTTCACTCTGTTTATCATCCGTCTTGCCCCACCAGGGAGTGAGAGCATTCCTGAGGGCCTGGAGCAGCACCCGGCTCACAGCCCTCAATAAATATGTGTTTACTCAACAACAGACTGACCAGCTGTCTGGAATAATAAACTGTGGATGCATTACGTGTTTGTATGTGAATCCCAGTCTGGATTTTTTATGTATGTTTTTAACAATTAGAATAATGTAAGTATACCCAGCACTTGAACTAAATAAATGCAATCCTTAATTTTTTCAGATCTTATCATAATATCCCTAACATTTTACTAAACTATCTGTTTTTGATCACTTCTATCCTCTTTTCTTTACAAAAGGGATGTGGGATTATAATTAGGGCGTCTTCTTCTCCAGGCTATCACAAATCTTCACAGTAGGAGACTTTACTGACAACAAATGTAAAACTTCAAGAAAAACATGTGGGCAGACAAACTGGGATCAAGAAAGAGCCCTTCATAATGAAAGCTTAAAAATATCTCTACCTTGAAATAGTAACAAAGACAGAATTATTTAAAAGTACTATCAATGACAATTTACATGTCTTAACTTCACGTTAATGGATTTCACACAAATTCACGGACAGGCATGGTGGGGACTGGCTTTGAGACGGCAGCCACTGGAGGGGTCTGGGCAAGGGAGGACACCAATGTGAAATCATGTGTTATTAGCTCCCATGTCCTGTCCCTGTTTAGAAACTGCTAGGAATACTCTGTGCATCACTCAGACACATACTGAATTTACAAGACTCACAAGTGAACGTAACTGAGAAGCTCACAAAAAGTTTCTTTTATTTATAGAATGATGACGGGGAAACGTGACACGATGGATTCTTCAATCCAGTAGGCTTTTGGGGATAAATATAAAATAACCACATTTTAAAGTGGTTTTTAAAATGTTATGTAAATGTACACCACCAAGAGTGCACCCTACGGTAAACTGTGGTCTCTGGGTGGCGATGATCTGTCAACACAGGTTCACTGATGGTGACAAATGCACCCTCTGGCGGGGATGTTGATAGTGGGGGAGGGTGTGAGGGAGGGGTACATGGGAAATCTCTATCTTCTGCTCTAAAAAAACTATTTTTTTAAGTACCATTTAAGTATGTTATCTAAATTTATAAATACCTACGTGTTAAAGTGTAGCAACCTTATGCATAAATTAAACAAGACACACCACCCGTGATGCTTTTGTCAGAAACCCCCACGACAGGTCAGCCTGAGTTTATCTCTTACCTGTCGGGGGCGATGGGCTGTGTGGCCACAGGACCCAGGTCAGTCTTGAGGAGGTCCCAAATGTAGACAGTGGATGTGTCGTCCTGTACCAGGAACACAGCCGGCCGTGTGGGTGACCACTGCAGGCTGGTGACGGCGTGGCCGCGGGTGCTGTTGTCCCACTGCACGAGAGGGTGCGCGCAGCTCACCTGGTGCAGCCGGATGCTCCCGTCCGAACAGCCGGCCTATGCCAGGAAGGGAAGGTGTTGACCATCTTTCCTTTTTCTTTTTTAAACTCAATCTCAGCAGCAGGGAAATTTTGCAGAGCATTAGCTTTCTTTAGTTTGCACAACAGAAATATTTGGTTTAATTTTTGTTTTCTAAACATAAAATTGTAACATTGAATCTGTCCTCACAAATTACAGAGGTGAGCGTTCGCCCTGGAGATTGTGACACAGCTGCACATCGCCCCCAAGCGGCTGATACCCCAGCGAGTCCGTGAGTGTAGACATGGGCTGACTCAAACACGGGTCACTAAGACTGGCTCCGTGGAAGCGAGTCACCGTTTTTAAAAATTACATACATTTGCGGGCCGGCCCGGTGGCACACTGCTACAGTGCGCCGCTTGGGAGCGCGGTGGCGCTCCCGCCGAGGGTTCGGATCCCACATACAGACCGATTCCCGCTCACTGGCTGAGCGAGGTGCGGGCGCAACACCGAGGGTTGCGATCACGTTGCCAGTCCCGGTCCGGTACGGGCGCGACACTGAGGGTTGCGATCCGTTGCCGAACACGAAAAAAGACCAAAAAAAAAAAAAGGAAAAAAAAAATTACATACATTTGCATCAATAATATTGCTATATATTCCCCTTGGATTGAAACTTCTGTAAAACAAAACTTAGCTGGCTTAGTAAAAGACCAAATTTTTAGCTTACAAAGAGAAGATGAATTCCTTTTTACTCAATATATTTAATTCTTTACACAGAAAAAAAAAAGAAAATAAAAACAAGAGTGGGAGTAAAATTCCAAATTGAAATACAAACAGAAACAAATTTAAAAATCTATAATCCAAACAAATAACATAACTACACAGGGAGCAGGGGTGAGAACTAAGCCAAATAATTTTCAAATACAACATGTGAACGGCAAACTTCCTCAGTCAAAACACAGAAGAACCCTAAACCCTTAGGTCTGCTCAGCGGGTGTCTTCTCGCAGAGGCGTGAGAGGCTCTGCGAACTCCAGGACTGAGCATGTGAACGGGCATGTTACAGATGCACACGGGCTTCCTACTGTCTGCGAGGAGCTGCAAGTGCAGGAGAGCGGCAGGTGTCAGGCCTGTCATCTGAGCCAGACAGAGGCAGGGGCTGAGGAGCACGTCCTGCCCTCGCTGTCTCTGAGCAGCCCCAGAAGAAACACTACCAACGCTGCTGACTGCCTAGACCTTGGTTCTGGACACTTTTCTCCACTCTCGGGAGCCAGAACTGCTTGGAGAAACAGCTGGTTCCAGGGCTACTATGCCAGAAAGCAAGGAAGGGCCCACAGAATGGGGTCAGCTCAGGGATGCCCACTGGCCTATCAGGACAACGGCAGCAGCAAAATGAACACTGGTAATAAATGATTGCGACCCAGTGAATAAAGTAAAAAGCCATGTGTGCATATTCACATAATAAATAGACAGATGCACACACAGGAAAAGAGGCAGAGGTCTTCCTAACAGTGCAAAGCCAGCTGGTAAATGCTGAATTAGCAACAGGATTAGAAACTCACCATTTGCCAATCATACTAGTAGATTCAGGCAAGAATCATCAATGAATACTGAACTGGTGGGCGAAAACCCGAGGACTTTCAGGATATTTACAAAGTGTCAACTTATTTCCTCACAGATACTTATTAATTAGAAAGTGAAGGCAGTAGCTCCATGTGGAGAAAGCCACCAGCACGTGGTCAGAACTAGAATTATCCACCACAGGCCTCCCTGGGACAAATGCCGCTCTCAGCTGTTCCAGCCAAAAGCCCAAAACCTGCACCTAATCATGATGGACACATTGGACAAGCGCAAACTGAGGAATAGTCTACAAAATAGCTATGCCCTTCAAAACTGTCAAGGTCATGAAAGACTGACAAAGTCTCCTATGCCCATCCAGATCAACGGAGAATGAAGAGCCGCAATAACTGAGCAAGATGAATGACCTGGGTGTTGCTTTGCTTATAAAGGACATTGACAGGACAACCTGTGCCATCACAGTCAGATCCACAGATGAGGTAACAGGACTGTACCAAAGTTAACTTTTTGGTAATTATGACTACAGTAGCTACACGGAATGCTCTTGTTTTTAGGAAACAAACACTGAATTTAGGGATCGAGTGTCATGTCTGCACTTCCTCTCAGAGAGTTAGAATATGTAAAACCACACACGCAACCACGCACATGCACATCCCCACACACAAAAAGGACAAAAACAATGTGGAACACAGAGGTTATACAGGAATCCTTTGGACAGTTCTTGTAACTTTTCTATAAGCCTGAAATTGTCAAAACAAAAATATTTTTTTAAAAGATCCATTTGATAACTAAGTGGAATGATCTGTACTCGTTGTGCAGACAAGACTTTCAGAAAACCACGGAGTGAGGTGTGTCAAGACATTCACACGCAAGCCTGCCAGCACCGAGATGCACGTGGAAGACGTGTACCCTCACGCGTTGGTGGAGTTCCACTTAGGATACTGAAACAGGTGCAGGGAAAACCTTCCAGTGGCTACAACCAGCTGCTGGGGCCACCCAGCCCTCTCTAGAGTTCCTGGGCATCCCTGCTCTTCTGGACTCAGGACCAGCTCCAGACCTGGCCAGGATATACGTGAGTCCTTCTGGGGACATTGTTCTTTCACGCACCTTCACAAAACAGAAGATTTACTGACGACACGCCTGCCCTTATCACCATGGCAGGCTCTGGAGCACAACTGTCCAATAGGAATGTAATGGGAACCACAGATGCAATTTAAATTTTCTAGTAGCCAAGTTGAACAAGTAAAAAGAAACAATTTTATTATTTTTATTTCATAGAAATATGCCCAAATATTAACAAATGTTATCATTTCAATACGCAATCAACAACAAAATTATTGAGATATTTCACATTCTTTTACTCATACTAATTCTTCAAAATCCAGTGTGTATTTTACATCTACAGCACATCTCGATTCTGTCACATTTCAGGTGCCCAATAGCCACATGCGGCCACTGTACTGAACAGCTCAGGTGTAGCCTTTGGGAAGTGTAAAGATGCATAAAACACCATCTCTGCCTTCAGAAATCTCATGGCTGGGAGGGATGCTGACATATTAACATAACTGATAATATGTTTCAAGTGCTATAAGAGTAGTATAAACAAACAACAATCCTTCCCATGTAGCCTTTGGGAAGTGTAAAGATGCATAAAACACCATCTCTGCCTTCAGAAATCTCATGGCTGGGAGGGATGCTGACATAACTGATAATATGTTTCAAGTGCTATAAGAGTAGTATAAACAAACAACAATCCTTCCCTCAATCTCAAGTACAGAGAAATGTGTAAAAACTAGAGAGAGGAGATATCTGGGTTATGACTTAATGTCTTCATCCTGGTATAACGCTCAACCATTAACTATCAGATTTAACCATGTGTAAAGTTAAAAATATTTTGCCTTCTCTCCTATCTTTCACCAACCAACCCACAAACGAACCCTGGAGTCCACAGGCTGGAAAAATACGACAACTGGGATTGGGGTGAGCAGGGTTGCACCAGGCCCTGGGAGGGACAAGAGGGAGGGCCTCGCGCCCCAGCAAGCGCATTCCCTGCACGGGCAGCACAGAGTGGCAACGACGGTGCTCAGTGGCCCTCCCTGGACTTCCTCTGGGGTTAAACATTGACTTATATTGTGTTTTGATGAATAACCAAAGTACACAAGGCAAAAATTCTCACACTAAGAATTTCTTCACATCTTGGGCTGTATCTCAGGTTTCAATATTTGATATTCTGTTAAATTCTAAATAGTTTGTAACTGAACAAAGTATTGCTTAAGAGAGTTAAATTTCTAAGTGGGTTATATATTTTTTTAATTGCTTTGTTGTTATTAATGTCATGTTTCTCCTTTTTAGACCATTGAGACCTAATAAATGACCAATCTGTGGCCTGGCGATTGATCAACTTCTAAAATTTTCCAACAGATAACAGCAAGTGTTATGCCGCCCAACAGGCCCAGGCCAATAATACCATTAGTAAGAATCGGTGCTTTAAAAAAATAGACTTTCTTACCAAGAACACTGGTTCTCCGAATGGTGAAAAATCAATCACATTAACTTTCACTGGTCTCATACCACGCTGCTGAGGCTTGAACAATTTGGGAGACACTCTCAAATCTTGTCTCGTGCCATGGATTACGAGACCCTAGTAACAAGAGGACGACAACGGAGCGTGACTAAAGAAGGGTGTCAGGTATAAGCTGGATAAAGCTGCTACTCTTGGCACAATGTAATAAAAACAAACAGTAAGTCAATCTTAAACAAAGATAGTTTTCAGGTAACTCTAGGGAAGAACAACCAGCAACAGCATGAAATTTAAAATACTACTCACCATGTCTGTGCCAACAATGAAGTGGTTAGGATCTGAAGGCAGAAATTTAACGTTCAGTGTGTGCGTGGGCCCCCAGAATTCATTACTTTTATGGAAAAGACTGAAAAAAAAAATAGCAAAGATGAGCAGGCAGTTGTTTGGAGCCCTAAGGACAGTGATGACACTCGCCATTTACCTAGCACTGTCACATATCATTAGATGCATAAGGGGCCACACCACATGTCCTCTGTGACTTCAGCCACTCTGTTTCCTATTTTTTTTCTCTGTTACTGATAATTTAAAATTTAATAATAATTAAATTCTTGTTAATTTCTCTTGATAATTTCTTCAGAATTATCCTCCTGTTACTGTTTCTTTGTTCAGCTGCATCTAATCTGCTATTTAACCGTTCACTAAGTTTTAAATTTCACAGAGAACTGTTTTGTCTCTAGACTGTGCAACTGCCACAGGCTCTCAAGGGGGCTAACCTCATTTCTTGCACTGTGGTGGACTGTTTCTTCTGGTTGTAGTTTTTGTGGTTTTTGTTTGTGAACTCATCTTTGGCAGACTGCTTCTTGTGGGAATCCCGCAAGCCCCAGCTTGTAAAAGTATCCCTACCCACCAGGTGGTTTTCCCTAAACTTTAACTGTGAACCCACGGAGGCCCTGGGCTGGCACTTGGATGTTAACATCTCAGCTTGCAGGATCCCATACCACACCCAGCTTGGGATTTTGACTTTTTTCAAATTCCACTGTCCTCCTTCTGCTGGGGTTGAGACTTTCTAAATTTCTCTCTCATTGAAGGGTCAGTGAGTTCCAGGGTCCAGGGGAGGGGTCTCCATTCCATCTCTGCCTCCTGCAAGCCTGATGAAGGCCTACAGCAACCAGGGCCTGAGAACCCAGCTGAGGCCATCACATATCAGCTCTAAGCTCCCTCCTCTCTTCTGGCATTGAGAGATTTTCCTTTACACAGTACGAGCAGTAGCAATGGGAGAGAACCCACAGGTGCTCCCTCTGCACATGGCCATCGTCAGAAGTCGAGAGTCTGGCCATTCGCACACCACATGCAGGGCTGCACATGTCACTCATCAGTCCAAGACCCCAGACCTGCTCCTCCCACTGAGATCCCTGCTGTGGAGCCATGGCCTCCTGGACGTCTCCATGAGCACGAGCTCAGTCCATCCCAAGCTGAGCTCCACCTGCCCCATCCCAGCTCGCGCCCCACACGCCTCCCCCTCCTGTCCTCCTCCTCATGGTGAGAGGGACCCAATCACCAAAGCAGACACTGTGGCAGAGGGAGGCGGCCACCCTGGGCTCTTCCTCCTGCTGTTCCTCCAATCACTCACTCACCAGGTTTTTTTTAATTCTACCCCTTTCATTTATATCCACCCTCCATATCCGTGGTTGCTGCCTTTGTGGAGGGAGGCGGCCACCCTGGGCTCTTCCTCCTGCTGTTCCTCCAATCACTCACTCACCAGGTTTTTTTAATTCTACCCCTTTCATTTATATCCACCCTCCATATCCGTGGTTGCTGCCTTTGTTCGGGCCCTTATCTTCCATATTGATGGCTACAATGACCTCCTCACTGGTCTCCCTGACTCCAGTCTCCCTTCCTCTGTTCCAAACTCACACTAATGCCAAGTTGATCATTAAATCACAAATAAGACACGCCACTCCTTGGCCTAAAATCCTGGGTCGACTTCCTACCTATCACCTTTGAGACAATGTCTAACACTTCAGCACAGCAAACACACTCACTAGGGTCTGCCCACAGCCTCACCCCATCTACCTCAACGCCAAACCTGCCGGCAGTTCTAAAGATGCCACACGTCACACCATCACGCCTCTGGGCCCTCCAGCTGCTCTTCCCTTCCCTGAAAGGGTGCCTGGGGTTGACCTCCTCATCCACCGTGGTTATAACATGGGAAAGGAAGTGCACAGGGTATGGGGGGCTCAGAGGAGGGGACACGTTAGGGGATGAAGTGACATGTAACTTATTGGAGTGGTGATAACTGCACTGTACTTTTGAATGGGGTGCCTGGGGTTGACCTCCTCATCCACCGTGGTTATAACATGGGAAAGGAAGTGCACAGGGTGTGGGGGGCTCAGAGGAGGGGACAGGTTAGGGGATGAAGTGACATGTAACTTATTGGAGTGGTGATAACTGCACTGTACTTTTGAATAATGGATGCTAAACAGACATGGATCTCAGGAAGACAGTGCTAGGAGTTTTGGAGGAAAAAAACTGACATCAGATCCATTAGACACTTTCCTATTTTTTTCTTAACTATACACAAAGCGTGTATAGTTAAGTACAGGAGAAATGTAACCATAAAAAGTAAATACAACGCATGGTATGAAGTGATAAGGGTGTAACATGTAACTGGTGGCTGGCTGGTGCAGGAATCTAAACCCCCAACCTTGGCGCTCTAACCAACTGAGCTAACCAGCCAGCCCTGATAAAAATACTCTTAAAGAGATTCCGTGAGGGAACTACACAGACTGGCGGGTCTGTAACTAGCCCAGAAATCACGTATGTTTGGCCTGCAGTATATTAGATAAACTTTTAAACATAGTGATTCACTTTCATAATTATATTCAAGTCAACTAGAGTTCATCTAAAATCTCTAAGCATGTATGAATTCATTAATACAACCCAGAGGTATTCCATGTGATGAGGAGAAAGCAGGCTCAAAACTTTCAGAAGTAATTCACATGTTGATAGTGAGCCCAAGGGCACTAACTGACGATATTTTTATGAAATAAATTAACATGAAACATACAAATACCACAAACAATATTTGTACATCTATTAAGAATTTTTATGTCATATTGTTATATGATCAAAGTAGAAATGTAAATTTATGAATAGAACTTTCTATGAATGTTTCTGCTTCCTGAAACTTCATCTAAGTTTAATTACACGGTTGCATTAAAACTGAATGAAAAATAGTCAAATAGTACCAATTTATAAGATAGGAAATATTTTTTGATTAAAGAAAAAAATTTAGCTCTACACCCGGAAGTTGTGTTTTTATTACATTGACTCATTAGTAATAAACTAATTAAGTAGTAAAAATACAATGTGAGAAAACGGATTTCTTCATTGCAAAACTGACCACACATTCATCGTGCAGTCATACTTAACGACAGGGATACCTTCTGAGAAACGTGTCACGAGGTGATTTTGCTGCTGTGTGGGCATCATGCAGGGCATGTACACAGACCTCGATGGCATAGCCTGCTACCCACCCACAATCTTACAGGACCACTGTCTCATACATGGCCCACTGCTGACTGACATGTCGCCAGGCAGCGCAGGACTGAATGTGCAACTCCCAAGGTCATTTTCCTTCTGTGGGGCTGTAACGGATTGAATTATGTCCCCCCAAAACTCACTGAAGGTTGAATGTGTCCCCCAAGTTTTATGTATTAGAAACTTAGCCCCCACTGTGACTGCTAACTGGGTGGGAAGTCCTATTATGGTCATTGAGAGGTGAGGCCTTGAAGAGGTGATTAGATTGTAGGACTGTGCTGTAGTGAACGGATTAAAAATGGTGGTCGGGGGCATGGTTCTGAGGGTTTTCTGCCATTTCACAATATGATACCCTGCTGTCACCAAAGTCACCACCAAAGAAAGTTTTCACCAGATGTGTTCCCTGGACTTTGGACTTCCTAGCCTCTGAAACTTTTTGGTTTTGTTTTTCATAAAATACCCAGTTATATGTACTTTGTTCTAAGTAACAGAAACAGACTAACACAGGGACTTTGTGAGGTAGGGGGAAGGGCTTTAGCTGAAAGTGGCAGAATCTCACCTGTCCCCCACCTGGACCACAGCACTGTGCACCAACTTTATCCTCCCTCCAGGTATTAGACCTGAAAACAGACAAGCCAGAACAAAAGCACCTCTTAAAACAAGTTAAATCAAAATATAAAAATTACGGTTGCCTAGAGTCATTTTTCATTGCTTAAGAATCTGCTTTTGGAAATAATATCAAAACATAAATCAATAAGCAGTATCCCTCCCTAATTCTGGGTGAGGTTCATGTACATTGTCTTATGACAAGAATCAAGAATTTGCAGTTCAGGAAAAAGATGAATAGAAACAAGAGCTACTAATCCAGCTTGCACTCAGGCCCCCTCCTCACAATTCAGTGCCTAGAGACCTGCTTGGCAGTGCTGCCCACGGAAGTTGGCCAGCGCCTCCAGCCAAACGCTTCCTGCCCTATTCGCGGCTCCCTCACTTCTCCAGCTTCCTTCCCAAACAATGTTGAGCTACCATCAGAGCCTGGCTTTATCTTTCCTTTCCTTCCCTGATCTCCCTAAAGTGTTTATAGCCACAGCCCCAAGTCCTCAGCCACCGACTAGCTTTGCCTCCCCGTCTGCTCCCATGCCCCTCTCTTCTAACTACTGCAAAGGGAGGAGCCAGAAATTTACATATACTGAAACCCAAATTCTGGGCAAGGTACTGCCTAGAACTTTGGAGCAGCTGAATTAAAAATATATAGAAATAGATTCAACTTGCAGTTGGAAAGGGTTACTGTAATCGTATTCAAATTACCTGTCAAAGTTATAACCATTACACAAGAGTGTTCAATGTCGCCATTCACAAATGTTAGACTACACCCCACCTCCCCAGCATGCCTCCTGCCTACAGCCTCAGCTCTGTTGCCTCCTATGGGACGTCTCGAGCCGGGTCCCTCTGTTCTAGCAATTACACCATTGTCACCTCTCCAGCCAGTGTCTCTTCCCCCTTGTCCCTGGTATCTAGGAGGGGACCTAGCTTGTTCAGAAAGCATTTCATAAAGGAATGAAAGACTGACAGTGGCTTCAGTGCTCCCACGGGCAACACATCCAATGCCTACACAACAGAGACTGGGGCCACCTGCAACTGCTGGCTGGCTGCTGTGAATGTCGTCCCTCACTTCCTAAAGGCAAAGCGGGAACACGGCTGAAATTTTGCTAAGTGAGTCAATGGATAAAGACTATTTTTATACAGCAACATTGAACAATGAATTATATACTGCCCTATAATATCTTTCGCATGACTATCCCATATATACTACAAACATTTTTATATAAATTTTTTGTGTGCAAAATAATTGTCTCCACAGCCAGATTCTCAACTAACTGTAGACAGGGACATTTTTTTTTTTGTCTTTTTTTTTGTGTGTGTGAGATAGGCCACACCACGCTCAGCCAGTGAGCGCACTGGCCATCCCTATATAGGATCCGAACCTGCAGCAGGAGCGCTGCTGCGCTCCCAGTGCCGCACTCTCCCAAGTGCGCCACGGGCTCGGCCCAGACAGGGACATTTTAACTCTTTGGTACCACCCATCATTGCCTGAAAAACGCCTGGTCTTATCACAAGTTAACAGTATAGCCAGCCTGAAGACGAGGTCTCAAGGTTATAAGAGCATGGGCATTCAGGGAACAGACCTAGGTGAAGGCAGATCTGGTCCTGGGACTAACAGGGTGACTTGTGGACATTGAGAAGGAGGGATGAGGAAACCCCAAAGGCTCCTCAGCTCTAAGCTCTGGAATTCCAAGAGCAACCGGAAAATCTAGAACACAGATGCGCCAACACAACATAGAATAGTTTCACGACATGTCGAGGATGTAAATGAAGAAAACATTGAGAAAAATGGTTACTCCACCTCAAAAATATTTACCAGTGAAAGTAATGAAATGATTCAGTCTCTAGTCTGCAGCAAGCTTTTGAGTGACACCATTGGCTGCTCAGACACAGAGAGCTGCTCCCCCCAGCCTGGAGAAGTTGGAACAAAGTGCACTGTCACTCCTGTCACATTTTCTGCCAGGTGCACCTGGAGACACACCCCGATACCAACAAGAGCGTGTCATTAGAAATGTGTGATTGAAGGCTCATGAGGTGAAAGGAAGTTGAGTTTACAGCATGGGCTGCCGCAGACCATGGGATGCCACAGTACTGAATTATTCTGTCACATCAAGCCCTTCTGGAACTGAAAGCCAACCGCATGGCACCAGCAGCAGCGACCTGGGTGGGAGACCAGTGTTTCTGCTCCACCCACACTCGAGAGCCCTTCGTGCACTTTGCCATCACCCAACCTAAGCGATCTCAGGAGAGTCGTGCTTGGTGTGGCTGACAGGTCCTGGGCACACCCAAAACCAAAGGAAGAACACCCAAAATGAAAGAGCCTTCGAGGACATGGAGTGTACTAGAAAGGCACGTGGAATACAGATGCCCTTTACTTCCCCAGTGAAAACGTCCACTCAGAAGGTTATTTGGTCACTCTAGTTAACTGAGGTGCCTGTCCAGTGGTGGATACGGCTAGATAATATGCACCTTTCACATTCACTTTTCAGGCAGCTAATTACATACTTTTCAAAGCAGTTATTGGTATCTATAATTTCTATGCATTTCAGAAAACAGTGGCTAAAATTAGTTTCATTATTTAATAGTTACCTAAATCACTTATTGAACCTGAGATGTCAGCCTTTGGTAATTCAACAACAACCTAAAAACAGAATATTGAAAATGAACATTGATACATTTTATAATTATGAAACAATCTAAGCAAAGCATAGTTCTAATCAAGGTAGCATGACATATTAGGTATTAAAAATATAACTGTTCTGGAAGAAAAGACTGATCACTAACTTTAGAACTAATATTTCAAACGTTATTAATTCCTTTCTTCTGATCTCTTTTCATGTTCTCTTCGGTCAGTGACTTCCGAGTCTCAGCTCACCCTCGAGGACAAGCCCTTCTGATGTTGTTCTCCAGCCCTGACGTGCTGTACCTGTCCTCTCTCCACACTCTCAAAGGCTGCAGGAGATTCCCCGCTGGCTGTCATGCAGGGCCCAAACTTGTCATATACAAACTCGCAGAACCAGCAGGCCGGGCTTCTGCACGCTCCCCTCTTCCACCCGCCCCTCCCCATCCAGGCGCTGTGTCCTCCACTCCGCTTCCCTCAGGCCCCGCCGCACATCCCTGGGCCACCCACTCACCCACACATTGAGGACCCCGCTCTCGTCCAAGGAGGCAATGTGGAATGACAAACCTGACATTTCTAATGAAAACAGAAACAAAAAGGAATAAACAGTGTTAAGTAAGAAAACCGCATTTCATGACTGTTGACTTCAGGATTGACAGAGTCGCGTACCTTCTTGAGTAGAAAAGGGCGAAAGCACAGAGCTCTGCTTTCTGTAGACAGACGTGGGGACAGGCTCTATCGCTCGGAGAGGACTTCGGTGGTTTACTGACGTGAGGACTCCATCTAGAGTTTAGAAACCCCATACCCACATATATGTAATAAGTCACAGAGGTACAACCAACGTTCTGTGTGGACAAACACGGAGGTGCTTCTGGGTCTGAGAGATCCAAATCTCTCCGCACAAACTCCCAAAAAACCCCAGGACCCATATGGACCACATGTGAAGTGACATGTGACCATGACTTTCGCACTGCTAGGAAACAGACCACAGACCTCAAAATATCTGCAAGAAGAGAGATGGGCACCAATACCAGCAGCAGTGCAGCCATCACCACAGGCCTGGAGGGCTGCGGAGGGGAGGTCAAGGCGCTCCGTGGAAAAGAGAGAACCACAAAGACAGAAAGAAACTCAGACGGAAGCAGCCTTGGAAAGAGAACATCTAACTCTGAGGCAGAACCCTGTGGGCCACTCAGCGCCTGAGGGGAAGGGGCTGGAAAGTGAACAGGGATCCCAGGGAGTCCTCAGAGCAGTGCTGCTCATGGGGAAGGGGGAGGTGAACAGAGCAGACGAGCACCAAAACAGGGCAGTGCCAGGACAACGGGGGCAAGAGGGAGATCCAGGCGTTTGCAAAATCAGAGCCACAGACACACCAACTCCACCAGCACCACCACGAGCGACACCACCCACAAAGAGATACATGCCGCAAGTTAACACAACATCCATCTACAGAATGTCAGGGAGTAGAAAAAAGGCAGGCATACTCCATACAAAGCTACTGTAAAAAGAAAATAGAAAATACAAATCAAAGCACTTCAGCTGGTAAAAATCCACCCCCCACACCAAAAACAATTTTTTAAAAGCAAGGACAACGCAGAAGACAACCAAAACTCAGCAATCAAAATTGAATCAAATCTCTTTGTCAAAAAGCATGTGGAAATGTATTTAGAGAAAACAAAATAAAAACACTTGGAATCAGAAATCGAAAACAGACACACAAAAAAGCAAAAAATAAAATGAGAGTTGAGATTAAACTCAGAAAAAAAACTGAAGAGAAAGACAAAACCATCTCAGAAATGAATAAGCGACAGGACTCCCGAGGGAGCGCAGACTCAGTGAGACACCAGCTACGCACAATGAGGGAATGCCCGTCTCTAGCAGGTGAAATCTGTCCCCTCTGACCTGTGGACTTTTACCGGACGTTTCTCAGTTCTCTCACCACTGAGAGCTTATTAAAAACTTTGTAGGTTTTATTGACAATATTTATATGACAAAAGAAAATGAAGAAAGCATTTTAATGGAGTAATTTACTTGTATACATGGTTCAGAGGTTTTGTGTTTTGGAAATGATGCTGGATTCAAAGGTTTACTAGTAACAACAACAGGTACCTATATATTCAAACATTTTCAAAAGCAGCAATATCACCCCAAAAGCAGCTGGTTGTTGGGGGATTTTAAAAAGTTGCTTTTTTTTATGTACAAAGCACAGACAGCCACATAATACATGAACAGATATGCGATGTATCTGTGGAGTTAAAACTTCAGAAAGGGGGCTGGCCCAGTGGTGCACTTGGTAGAGTGCGGCACTCCCGCCGAGGGTTCGGATCCCATATAGAGACCGGTCCGCTCATTGGTTGAGCACGGTGCAGGCGCGACATCGAGGGTTGCGATCCCGTTGCCGGTCATGGTACGGGCGTGACACTGAGGGTTGCAATCCCGTTACTGGTCACGAAAAAGGACAAAAAGGGAAAAAAAAAAAAAAACTTCAGAAAGGGCTGATTAGGGAAAAGAAGTTTAAAAGACTACTTGTTTAAAGAATAAAAAGACAAGCCACAGACCGGGAGGAAATATTTGCAAAACACCTATCTAATAAAGGACTGATACCAAAATACACAAAGAACTCTTAAATCTTCACTATAAAAAAGACAAACAACTCAAATAAAAAATGGGCTAAAAACCTTCACAGATACCTCACCAAAGAAGATATACAGTGGTACACAAGCATATGGAAAGATGTTCTGCATCGCATGCTGACAGGGAAATGCAGACTCAAACAACATGGAGATACCACCACACACCTGCAAGAACAGCCAAAACCCAGAACCCAGACGACACCAGAGGCTGGCAGGGACGTGGAGCAGCACGAAGCCCCACTCGCTGCCCGTGGGATGCAGAACAGCGCAGCCACTTTGAAAGACAGTTGGGTGGTTTCTTACAAAATCAAACTCTTACCATAAGGTCTAGCAGTTGCACTCCTTGGTATTTCTTTGCCAAGAGGAATTTTAAAACATCCACACAAAAACCTACACATAGGCGTGTGCCACAAAGTTGCCCTCCAATAGGTGAATGAAGAAATAACCCAGGTGCCTCACATGTCATTCAGCGAGCTACGTTATAATAGTTTTTTAAAGAATATAAGATAAAATGATTTTTTTTAATGAGCTATCAAGCCATGAAAAGACATGAAGGAATCTTAAATGCATTTTACTAAGTGAAAGAAGCCTATCCGAAAAGGCTGCAAACTGTTTGGTTCCAACCACATGACATTCAAGAAAAGACAAAACTGTGGCGACAGTGAAGGATCAGCAGCTTCCAGAGGTGGCGGGGAGGGTGGGGGTAGAAATAAGAGAAACCCACATTGAGACACATCATAATCAAACTGCTAAAAGCCAAACACACAGAGCAAATCTCGAAAGCAATAAGAAAAAAAAAATGACATTACACACAAGGAGAAATGAGCTGATCAACAGTTGAATTCTCATTGGAAACATAAAGGTCAGAATAGAACAACAAAAAAAAGCAGAGAAAAAAAGAACTGTGAACCCAGAATTGCATGTCTATGAAAACCACTGAGAGTGAAAATCTCAACAATGGTATTATTGCATAACTGGACATCCACCCACACACACACGCACACACATGAACCTCCACCAACACCTCTCACCATGAACCAAAACTAACTAGAAATGAATGACAGACATCAGTGTAAAACCTAAAATTATGAAACTTCTAAAAGGAAACACAAGAGAAAATCTTTGTAACTTTCAGTTGAGCAAAGACCACTTAGATGTGACACCAAAAGTATGACCACAGAAGAAAACACCTGATGAGCTGAATTTCATCAAATTTAAAATACTGTTAAGAGAATACCGCAGATTGAGAGAAAATATTTACAAAATACATATCGGAGAAAGGACATACACCCAGAATACATAAAGAACTCACAAAACTTAATAAGAAAACAACCCAATTTAAAAAACGGGCAAAAGATTTGAAGATATATGGATAGCAAAGCAGCACGAAAATACGCTCAATAGGGCCGGCCCGGTGGCACACTTGGTAGAGTGCGGCACTTGGGAGCGCGGGAGCGCTCTCGCCGAGGGTTCGGATCCCATATAGAGACCGGTCCGCTCACTGGTTGAGCGCA